AGAAAAATTTTCAGTACACATAGCTTGACTTACATGATATCAAATTAGAAAGTAGAACAAGCATGTTAATCTAAACTCTCATGTTGGTCAAAATTGTTTTAGCTAAAAGCCAAAAACAAAAATATGGTCAAAGTGATGAACTAGGGGCACAGTCGAGTTAGGTTTTCTGTCTTTTCCCCATTGTTAACACACTCGCCAAAAATGGCACAACTGAAGCTAGCAGCAAGGTCCAAAAGCTCTCTCATTCTCCAATCAATGAGGTATTGAGCCAAGTGTGAAAGCATGAACTAGAAATAGACTTGGATATTCGACCCCCTCATAAGGTTCACAACTTCCAGCTTATCCATCAGCCACACTTGGGAAGGGATAAAAAATAAATAAATAAAAATAATAGAGAGATGCACGCTAAGAGAAAAAGTAAGGAAAGGGACTTTCAGAGAAATAGAGATTGAGTGCCGAAGTGATATGAAAACCATAAATGAGAAAGGGTGGGAAAAAATACCTAGAGAAGCAGTGGGCTCCCCATGAACTGAGAAGTCTCCAGCCGATGGAAAGCAAAGATCTAAGTGTTGTGTTTGTTGTTTTTGTTCATTTTGATTCTTATTTTGAGTCGTTTCGATTTCGATTAGGTCGTTTTTACTTTGTTTTCCTTTTGTTGAGTAGTATTTTGGTCAGTCATAGGCTCAATACCCAGTTAAGAACTCATTCTCAATTTCAATTTAAAAAATAAATCATTTTTGTGCTCAAAGTGCCGTGTCATTCCCAACATGATATGCAAAACATAATTCTTTATTTCATAAACTACAGGGTCCAAACCCAATCAAAAGAGAGAGCAACAAAACAAGGACCTATCTGAAGGTATATAAGTTCTAAACTACAAAGCAAAAGAGCAAAAAGGAAAATTGGAGCATCTGAGTTTGTTTTAACTTCCAAAAATCTCGAGATTGCATTTCAGATGCACATTTTTAGATCTCGTCAGTACCGTCCACGTGCGTGACTTCCGACTCCGGACTTTTCTGGAAAAGTCAAACGACGTGTTTAACCTGTATGGACGAGATTTGAAGACATAAAAAGAAAGTAAAGGCTGGATTAGGGCGTTCTAAAATTGTTTTGACCTAAAGAGGCGAGGCCTAGGTTTGCAAAAGGAGGAAAGGAAACAAGAAGCTTCAAAGATGTCTCACATTGGTTGTTCCTTCTCCTTCTACTTCTTCACCTCCTCCATGAGTGGCTTAGTCTCTTCTTTTCTAGGCGTTTTGATGAAACCCTAGCCATGTAATTATGTAGTTTTCTTTTTGATTTTATATTATGTAAAGGTTTGACCATTGTATTGTGTTTGAAATCTTTATATAATTTTCATATCTTTCAAATATTTAACTTTCTTTGTGATTGTGTGACATATTATCCATACATGAGTTTTCTATTCCTTCAACATTCAAGTATGAGACGAAACCATGCTACGAGGAACGAGGTCGTATCATACCCTAGTTTAGAGTGAACATTCGTATTACTTGAGATGGTTCGTGGCTTCGTACATTGAATGTGATGGATCTTTCTTGTTAAATGCTTGAGCTGTAGTTGTGAAGCATTAATTCGGTTCAAACTCATAACATAATTGAATTTCAATTGGAAACCCTAAGTTTATGTGGTTAGTGGAATTCTCAACACTTAGGATTTTTCCCAATTTAGTTAAATCCAATTTCATTATTATTGATTAATTTAATTCCTTAGTTTAATTTTATTGTTTATTAAATTAGGGTTATGATCATTCAATCTTTTTATTCAAAAATTTAATTAGGAATTTAAACAATTTAAATTAGTTAATTTCACAATAGTCCCTGTGAACGATCGATACTGGGACTTGCCATTATCGATAGATTTGTATAGTTTAGTAATTTAATTTTGGTGTATTCACGACCATTCAAATTTTGGCCGCCGTTGCCGTCGGGACTTCTGGCGAAAATTATTAATTTAAAGTTACATTCTTATTTATATTTTAGTTTAGGGATTTTTGCTTTGGTTGTTGCTAATGTGAGAGCGTTTGAAATTGCGAGCCTATCACTGAAGTGCAAATGGAGCCGCAACAAGCTTTAAAAAAAAAAAAAAAAAAACCCCGCAGCGCTAAAAGTGAGTAAACAAGAAGCAAAACTGATGGGTCGTGTGAACACCCAAAATTTAAATACTAAACTATTACCAAATTCTATCAGAATAATGCAAGTCCAGTATCCGATCCACAGGGACTATTGTGTGAAATTAAACTAATTTAATTGTTCAAATTCCTAAATTAATTTTTAATGTAAAAAGATTGGTTTTTATAACCTAATTTAATAACGAAATAATTTAAACTAATGAATTAAATTATCAATATAAATGAAATTGGGTTTACTGAATTGGGGAAAATCCAGGCGTAGAGATTCACACCTAACCACATAATTAGGGCTTTTATTATGTGGTTAGTGGGTGAATTCTCTACCTAGGATTTTTCCCCAATTCAGTAAACCCAATTTCATTTATTATGATAATTTAATTCATTAGTTTAATTTATCGTTATTAAATTAGGTGTTATAAACAACCAAATCTTTTTATTTAAAATATTGGAA